ATTTTATTTATTTGACAGAGACAGCAAGAGAGGGAACACAAGCAGGGGGAGTGGGAGAGGGAGAAGCAGGCTCTCCGCGGAGCAGGGAGCCCGATGTGGGACTCGATCCCAGGACCCTGGGACCATGACCTGAGCTGAAGGCAGACGCTTAACGACTGAGCCACCCAGGCGCCCCCTTTTAGATTATTTTCAGAAGAATCCCAGAAGTCGAATTAGAAGAAAGTGTGAACATTTTTAAGGCTCTTGATAACATTTTAATACACTGCTCTCCAGAAAGACTAGGCCAAATTGCATCTTAGCCAAGGATGCTGTCCATTTTGTTGCATCTTTGCCAGCATTGAATATTAATAGTTTTTAAGCTTCTGATTTAATAGTTCAAAATAAGCATCTTGTTGATTTATTAAGAACTTGGATTTTTTTTCCCATATATTTATTGGTTCATTTATATTTTCTTTTTTTGAGTTCTTTCTGTGTCCTTTTCCATTTACCTGTTGCAAATGATTTTCCTAACAGATTTATGTCTTATCTGTTTCTAATCATACGAGTAATGTCTGTTCCTTGTAGGAGGATAAAGACTTACCACAAAGTAAGAGATGTATATCATCCAGAGATACCACCCAATATATTGTGTGTTGTATATCTTTCTGGTGCTTTCTTTGCATATTATAATCTTTAAATTAATTTTAAGGGGCGCCTGAGTGGCTCAGTCGGTTAAGCGTCTGCCTTCGGCTCAGGTCATGATCCCAGGGTCCTGGGATCTAGCCCTTCATCGGGCTCTTTGCTCAGTGGGGAGCCTGCTTCTCCCTCTCCCTCTGCCTGCTGCTCCCCCTGCTTGTGCTCTGTCCTCTCTCTGACAAATAAATGAAATCTTCTAAAGATAAATTATTTAAACGGTTGATGAATACTCTTATACTACTCCTAGTACATATGTTTCTTTGTAGCCTACTTTTTTAACTTAGCAATATGTTCTGAACATTTTTTTTTTTAATTAAGGATTTTTGTTTACTTACTTGACAGAGAGAGACACAGTGGGAGAGGGAACACAAGCAGGGGGAGTGGGAGAGGGAGAAGCAGGGAGCCCGATGCAGGGCTCGATCCCAGGACCCTGGGATCATGACCTGTTCTGAAGGCAGACGCTTAACGACTGAGCCATCCAGGCACCCCTGTTCTGAACATTTTCTTGTACAACATGGCTAATTAGCTAATAAGCTGCCTAGTATTCCATCATATAGCAGAAACTCAGATTTTTGTTGTTTAGGAAAGTCCCAGATCTATTTATGCTTTGGATATTAAAACTAAGTAATTAAGATAGTTAACTGTTTCTGATGAATGCTAAAGCAAGATATAAATAAACTGACTTGTTTTTACTTTGACGTATTAAATAAGATTGGCTCTCAGTTTGAGTAGAGAATTAAGCAATATTCTGAAGGAATCACATTTCCCAACAATCTCATAAAATTTTTTGTCCATACAGTATAGGATTTAAAATAGAGTGTGATGTTGTGAAAAGAATATAGACATTGGAGTTCCATCTAAGTTTGGGAGTCCCAACTTTTCTACTTTTATGACCTTCAGCAAGTTACTTTTTTTAGTATTTAATTTCTTTGTTTTGACTCTTTTTAAATTTCTTAAGCATGAAAATAAATTATGTATTTATGGTCTAAAGCTAATGTATGTACTTATAAAACAGAACATTTTTTCTATAACCACAATAACATTATTACACCTAACAAAATATTTTTAATATTATCTAATACCAATCCACATTCAGATTTCTCTAATTGTTTTTCCCCCCAAGTCCTTTATAGCTGGTTTAT